AAAAAAAAAAAAAAAAAAAATAATCCAACAGTGAGGCAGTTTCGTTCAGCATACCGAAAATTAGTTATCAGAACAAATGATATACCAAGTTTTAATACTGGTAATTGTATACCACTTGAAGAGATAGATATTATTCACTACTTCAGTTCAGATCTAGTTACTGTTTTAAATAACMATTCTTCAGGTTGCAGTTTTGATCCAATTGATGAAGAAAATGAACAAGATATTTCTGCATTTATAATGGACCATGATTATATTGGAAATCACAGTTCATACTCTTTTAGGAATTTTTCAAAAGAAATCATTDTTTATATTTCAGGATTTGTAGTTCATAAATTGACCAATGTACTAAAATGTGATGTTTGTAAACATGCATTGTGTGCTGCCGAAAAAGAATGTTTTTTAAATTCGTTGATAACATTAAAAAATAAGAGAGGCATTCATGGTGGACTTATTTTTCCAAGTGAAGATGTCATAGATGTTTGTTTCATTACAGAAAACATTTTGAGAACATATGATTATACTTCTAAAGCTGTAAATAAATTACAAGTTCAAGCCGATGTCCTTAAACATTTTGTATTTAATTCAAATATATTTAAATCATTAAAAAATAATAGTACTGAAACCAGAAGTCCATTAGCCGACCATACAACTCTTTTAATAAAATCTATATCTTCTACTTATATAAATATAAAAATAAATAACAGTTTAAAAAAMCACAATGAAACCCCTTCTGTTCGGATGTGGTTTAATAAACTTACTCTTTTTAAAGGACAATAATTTAGTTTTTGTTTATTATTATTGTATAGTCTCTCTGCCCATTTATTTAATAACTTATAACTTGTGTATTGTGTATATAGTTTAATAAACTAAATATTTTTAAATGACAATAATTGAATTTATAGTTTATTATTTAAGTTTTACAATTTAGGTATATGATATTAATAAAATATAAACACATACAAATGATGTCCATATAATATGTCATTATAAAAATAAATACATAACCAAAAAAGGAACATAATAATTTACTATTACTGTTATTGTATTTTCAGGATTAAATGTTGAGCAGAGATTGGCATATAGCAGTGGAATTGTCAAAAAAAAAATGCAGTCTGCTACTCCACTATGAAAATAACAGAATCAATCGCCTGTCTTGTAAAGTATTTGAGTAAAAGTATTCTATGAAAAAGTTATACTAGGTACTGAAGTGCAATAAATTATTTATTATATATTAATAYATGTGTCAACTGTAAATACAAAATTCTAATTAAAAAAAATATAGCTATTTTTCTTGATATTAAATAATAATAACTACTATGCCATATTTATAAAATTAGTAAATTTTAAAATACTAATGACCGCTTAGTGTGTGTGTTGTACATTAGGTACATTGTTGTCCAAGCTATAGTATTTGATAGTACTTAACAGTTACAACATACACCAAGTACCAAAAGTGCTGAATTCTTATTCTAATTAATTTAAGTAAAACTAGAGTGCTGAAATAAAAAATTAATTCAGTTTACTAATGATTAAGTTTATCTATAAGGTTAAGGTAAAAAGGTAAAACATAAAAAAAAAGTATTTGAAAGTATATTTAAATACTTTTGAAAATAAGTATTTGTATCTGTACCTACTTGATACTTTTTAAAAGTATCTTTTACAAGACTGTCAATCRTATACCAAAAGAGCAAAACTATTATAAGCTATTATATATTATAACTAGGGCCCCGATTTTTATGCAAAAATTATTGCTAAATATGCAGATATTTATACACTTAAAAATTCAAAAATATGTAAAAAACAATGCAATGAAGTTACGAAATGTGATTTCATTTTATCGTACACTTTGTGACGACATAATTTTTTTCCACTAGATAGGCAACACTGGCAAACATACACCTTTTCCGCTTCACTTTTTTTTTCGAACGGCATCTCTATATTACTCTATGCTTCAAATGTAAATACCTATCGTGTGTCGTGGTTCGTACCTGGCGTGTAGCGCAGTTGATTCATAGGTTTGTGTAGCGATGCCACCAGGCGGAGGGCCGCGGCTCCGGCGGTGCGTGGTGGAAGTACTCGCATGGGAGTCGGAGTGTCYTACCGTACACCAATTCCGCGAGCGTGTGTTCGAAACTAGACTTGATCGTGTTGCGAAGCGCGAGAAGCACGATGGGAAGCTTATTAGACGAATCCGTAAATTCGTGTGCGATGAGAACGAATTTAAGCGTTCGAGCATGCCATTTGACTGTTGGTGGTATGGCGACGATCTYGTGTATCTTTGCTCGGCCGGTGATAGTTTTTTCGAAAAGAAACCTAGTGGTCGCCACTGGTCGTTGACCTTTTGCTTGAGTATGGCGTCCACCGCGGTATTCGATGCGTCCGTGCTGAGGCGTAGTGGCGCTTAAGCTGTAGCCTGTAGGTGCGCGAGTCGCGCGGTGTCTGCGAGTGCTTGGCGACAGGCGTTGAAACATGCGCGCATAGCGTCCGACCACTGGAGCGGACCGTCGCATTTTTTGATATCGGCGGCGAGGTTGTACCTCGGCCGCATTTGGAATGAAACGCCGATAGAAGTTCAACGAACCTAAAAAACGTTGAAGCTCTTTTTTGGTGTTGGCAAGCGGCAACTCGTGTATCAAAGCTACGCGTTCRGCGTTCGGTCAACAGGCGTCCTTGTCGATCACGTGTCCGAGAAATGGCATGGTTTCCACGGCAAAAACGCACCTTGCTGGATTAATCGCGATGCCGTATTTCTGAAATCGTTCGAGCACTGTACACACGTGTTGTAAATGCTCGTCTTCGTTGTGCTAGGCGATCAGAACATCGTCGATGTATGCAAACACGTAATCTAGACCGCGTAAAATGTCGTTGATAACGCGTTGAAACGTTTGYGTGGCGTTGCGTAGACCGAAACACATGACAGGGAATCCGAACAGACTGTCGGTGTCGTGATGGCAGTTTTGTGTACATGTCCGGGGGCTATCGGTATCTGGTGGTACGTCCGGATGAGATCCAACTTGGTAAACACAGTCTTGTCGGTGAGATTTGAAGTGAAGTCGTGAAGGTGCGGTAACGGGTTGCGGTCGACGACTGTGACCGCGTTGAGTCGTCGGTAGTCCCCGCATGGTCGAAATGTGCCATCTTTTTTGGCAACCAGGAGTAATGAACTGGCCTAGGTGCTCGATGAGGGACGGCAGATACCTTTCTGTCGTATAAACTAGAACTTGGCGTGTGCCGTACGGAGGCGGTCTTGAGGTAATCGACGCGGACGTGAAAATAGCGGCGGTCCGGTCGTGTGCAGTTTATGTAAAACGTCATGTAGGAATTCCGTCGGAACTGCTAATTCTCGAGTGACCTCGGGGTAATCGAGCAGCACCGATTCGTGTTCAACAGTCCAATTCGTTGGTCGTGTGATAGTGCACAAAGCAGTGTCAGGCGTGTCGATAACGGAGACTGCTTTAATCGATGTGTTTTGTCCGACGAGTCGGTTGTGTCGTATGTCGATCAATAGGCCGAAATAATGTCCAGCACGCCGGACGGTGCAAAGATGGCGGCGAAACGGTGTTTGGGGGCTGCGACGTCTGCGAGTTCGTAACGGGCTGCCTCCATGACTCGATTTGCGCGTTCGGCGTAGAGTGATCCGGAGAGGCCGGCTATGACCATGTGCACTGGAGCTGCTGGAGCCAAAACAGTTCTAGTGAGATATCGCCCATGTCGTCAGGGTAGACGTCGCGCATGTCGCGCAGCAGCTGCKACGGAGTCCTATCGCCCAGGCCGCCTGGAGAAATAATACATTGGATCTTCGATGCCTGCGACATTGCGTACGTGTTGATGAGTCTGCCACGAAGCAAATCATATGTAACGTTCCCCACTTCTCCCCAAVCAGATCGGCAACCATGCAAATGCCATCTTCGTCTAGCGCAGCTTCTGTAGACAGTTTTGTTAGTTTATCGTACATGTTTAAATTCTCTCCACAAGCCGTGTCAAGATGTGTTCAAGAAGTTTGCAGAGCATTAGTACAAGAATTAAAGATGAAATTAAGGTACCTAACTATTATTATTTGAAATACATATTGATAAAAAAAAAAGTACAACAAAATTATAACTGACATACTTCGTAAATAAAATAAAATAAGTTCCTTCTAATAAAATAATCAAAAAACAAGGGTAGAAAATAATATAATAATTAATAAGCGATGTTCTAAAAAAGTAGGCAATAATAAAATAAAATTTACTACTTATTGGTAATATCAAATATTTGATCATAATCTCTGCCATAATGTTCAAATGACGATGATGGTCCGGGTACTGGGTTTTGTATAAGATGACTGGGAATGTGGTGACGGTGCTGTATATTCTGTATATTCTGATCTTGGTGATGGATTATAAGAATATTCATTAAATGGGCGAATAATTTCATATGTCTGTCCGATTTCACGTTGTGTTTGAGGTAGGTAATTTGGCTGAGTTCTATTATGTTTTAGATTAAATAAATAGTTATCTATGTCTTTCAATGCTATCTCACGGGTGTTGTCGTCAAAATCCTTCAATAGTTGTCGAACTTTCTTCATAGTCTTCTTCTGCATTACCATGAACTTCTTCGTTTACTCCAATTACACCGGCAGTCGATTGGTCTAATGATTCCTATGAACGAAAATAAAATAAAATTTTCAAAATAATTTTTGAAATCAAAACAATTTTTAATATTAATAAATGATAATACGAGCGTCTAGAGACAGTAGAAGAGCAAAGATCTTATCAATTATCATATCGTATTCCTTATCAATTATCATAACCGTTAAACATTTTCAAATCGCAAAACTTTTTTCAGTTTTTTAAAATTTTAAATAATTGAAATATATATATAAATAGTTCTGAAATATTTTCGAGCAAGGCTTCAGGAAAACGTGCCATGAAAATTATTGATTCGTGTAAAATAGGCAAGTGTCAAAATCAGTATTATACATTAATCAATTACCTACTTAAACTTGTAATTATGTTTATCTGTTGTATATTATAATCGTGACATTGTGATTGTTTTATGTGTTGCTTGTTGTTAATTGATCTTCAAGTCAAGTCGTTGGTGTTTATGGAATATATGAAATAGTTCATCACTTATGATATAATTATAGACTTGTTTTTATTATATTATTCTATGGTGACAAACTCGTCTATTGTCTACTCCTCCAATAACTAATTATTTAATATTATATTTTGTATTTAATTTTGGTTTTAATGGATACTAAATATTGAAAGTACAGTGTACATTTAAATACAATGTAGGTTTAGAATAATATTTAAATGTATAAATGTCAATGTCTTACTATAAATAAAACTAAGTAATAACAAATATTAGTATTTTATTTCATTTTATTCTTATTATGATTTTTGTCTGGCTTAATAATAAAATGTATGTTTTAATTAAACCTTTGTTGAATAACTTGATTAATATCTAAAGATGAACTGAGAACTGAATGTTAACGCCATGTCTGTTTTCCTTTAGTCAAAATTGTGTTTAATAATAATTTTAGATACATTCTTTCCTTCGTACATACAAGTAGTAGTTAAAGGATGTGGAAATGTAGAAATCAAATATTGTAAGACACATAGAGGGCATTACAACGAAGTAAAATATCTTCCATTCCTAAAAAAGTCCAAGAAACAATTTCTGGTAAATAGTGTCTTTTATTTGTATATTAAATAATACATTTAACATACTAAATATATTATTTATCCAGACAAAGTAAAAAGTGGAGTACCTCCAAATGTGATAATTGATTAGCTCCGTGATGATTTTGATTATAATGTTGAAAAGAAGAATATAATAACTCGAAAAGATGTTTATAATATTTCTTCCAAGTGTGGATTACTTCATAAATACAAACTTCATGACGTTGATGCTTTAAGTGTCGAAATTCAGATGAAAAAATTTCAAAAAAACTTTTCTAGTCCCATAATTATGTATAAAACCCAAGGAACCGAGTATTTTCCATTAGACATCAATGATTTTATGTTAATTTTATTGACTGAAACACAAAAGGAAGTCCTTAAAAAATTTGGTA